CTAAAAAACTCGAAAATTTAACATTCATTGTGTATGATAGTACACAACAAAGACTTTAATTGGATGTGACTTCTATTTAGTCAAGATATATGTAACTTTGGACATATGTGAAAAATAACATTTTCTTGTGTGTTTGCTATTACACACATCTTGACAAGAAAATAAAAAATTACTCCTGCTAACTTAAGAAGGAAAAATTCACAGAAAAAAACTCGAAAATTTAACATTTTCTTGTGTTTGTGTTAATACTCACATCTTAGTAAGAAAATCAAAAATCTTCAAATTTGATATTTTTTGTGTATGTGTTAATACACATATCTTGACAAGAAGATTAAAAAAACTACAAAATTTGGGAAGAAAATTTAAAAATTCATAAATTTAAAATATATTTTGTGTGTGTTAATACACACATCTTGGAAAGAAAATAAAATAACTTGAAAATTTAACATTTTTGGGTATCTGTTAATACACATATCTTGATAAAAAAAATAAAATAAAAACTTAAAAATTGAACATTTTTTGTGTGTGTGTTAATACACACATCAAAAATTAAACATTTTTTGTGTTTGTGTTAGTACACATATCTTGACAAAAAAATTAAAAAAACTCAAAAATTTAACATTTTCTTGTGTGCTTGTATACACATCTTGGCAAGAAAAATAAAAAACTTGAAAATTTAATATTTTTTGTGTGTGTGATAGTATACATATATCACAAGAAAATTAAAAAAAAACTCAAAAATTTAACATTTTCTTGTGTGTGTTAGTACACACATCTTGGCAAGAAAATTAAAAAACTCAAAAATTTAACATTTTGTGTGTGTGTGTTACACATATATATGATATATTCACAAGAATATTAAAACAAAATTCAAAAATTTCACATTTTCTTATGTGTGTGTTAATACACACATCTTAAGAAGAAAATTAAAAACCTCAAAAATTTAACATTTTTTTAGTGTGTGTATGTGTATTAATACACATATCGTGGAAAGAAAATTAAAAAAAAAACTTAAAAATATAAGATTTTCTTTTGTGTGTGTTAATACACATATCATAGCAAGAAAAATTAAAAAAACTCCTAAATTTAACATTTTTTTGTTTGTGAATATACATATATTGACAAAAATTTTAAGTACTCATAAATTTATCATTTTTTTTTTCTGAATACACATATCTTGACAAAAAAAATTTAAAAACTCAGAAATTTAACATTTTCTTTTTTGTTTGTTAATAATCACATCTTGACAAGAAAATAAAAAACTTAGTCCTGCAAACTTAAGAAAGAAAAATTCCCAGAAAAAAACTCGAAATTTTAACATATTCTTGTGTCTATGTGTTAATACACACATCTTAGCAATTAAAATAAAAAAATACAAAATTTAGTATTTTTTGTGTGTGTGTTAATACACATAACTTGACAAGAAGATTAAAAAAACATTGATAATAAAACATTTTTCTGTGTGTATTAATATACACATCTTGGCAAGAAAAATTAAAAAATTTGCAAATTTAACATTTTTTGTGTGTGTTAATACACACATCTTAACAAAAAAATTTAAAAAACTATAAAATCTAACATTTTCTTGTGTTTGTTCGTATACACATCTTGGTAAGAAAATTAAAAAACTTCAAAATTTAATATTTTGTGTGTGTAATAATACACGTATCTTGACAAAAAAATAAAATAAAAACTCCAAAATTCAATATTTTCTTGTGTGTGTTAATACACACATCATGGCTAGAAAGTTAGAAAAACTCGAAAATTAAACATTTTGTGTGTGTGTGTGTTACTACACATATCTTGACAAGAAAATTTTAAAAAACTCAAAATTTTAACATTTTTTTGTGTGTGTTAATACACTTATTTTGACATGAAAATTTAAAAAATCTCGAAAATATAAGATTTTCTTTTGTCTGTGGTAATATACACATCACGGCAAGAAAATTTAAAAAAACTTGTAAACTTAACATTTTTGTTTGTGAATACACATATATTGACAAAAAAAATTTAAATACTCGAAAATTTAACATTTTTTTGTGTGTTTGTTAATACACACATCTTGACAAGAAAATAAAAAAATTAGCACTGCAAACTTAGGAAGAAAAAATTCACAGAAAGAAACACGAAATTTAACATTTTCTTGTGTGTGTGTTAATACTCAAATCTTGACTAGAAAATAAAAAAACTACAAAATTTAGTTTTTTTTGTCTATGTGTTAATACACATATCTTGACAAAAAGATTTAAAAAGAAAATTGAAAATATAACATTTTTTGTGTGTGTGTTAGTACACACATCTAGGCAAGAAAAATTAAAAAATTCCCAAATTTAGCATTTTTGTGTTTGTTAATACACATATCTTGACAAAAAAAAATTAAAAACTCAGAAATTAAACATTTTCTTGTGTCAGTGTTAATACAAACATCTTGACAAAAAAATTCAAAAAAAAATTCAAAAATATAATATTTTCTTGTGTGTGTGTTATACACACATCTTGGCAAGAAAAATTAAAAAAATTCGCAAACTCAACTTTTTTTTGTGTGTTAATACACGTATCTTGACAAGAAAAATAAAATAAAACTAAAAAATTTAACCTTTTCTTGTGTGTGTGTGTTAAATACACACATCTTGGCAAGAAAATTATAAAACTCGAAAATTTAACATTTTTGTGTGTGTGTCTTAGTACACATATCTTGAAAAGTAAATAAAAAAAACTCAAAAATTTAACATTTTTTGTATGTGTTAGTACACACATCTTGGCAAGAAAACTAAAAAACTCTAAAATTTAACATTCATCGTGTGTGTGATAGTACATAACAAAGACTTTATTTGGATGTGACTTCTATTTAGTCAAGATATGTGTAACTTTGGACATATGTGAAAAATAACAATTTCTTGTGTGTTTGTTATTACACACATCTTGACAAGAAAATAAAGAATTAGTCCTGCAAACTTAAAAAGGAAAAATTCACAGAATAAACTCGAAAATTTAACATTTTCTTGTATTTGTGTTAATACACACATCTTAGTAAGAAAATTAAAAATCTTCAAATTTGATATTTTTTGTGTATGTGTTAATACACATATCTTGACAAGAAAACTAAAAAAACCACAAAATTTGGGAAGAAAATTTAAAAATTCGCAAATTTAAAATATTTTTTTGTGTGTGTTAATACACACATCTTGGTAAGAAAATAAAATAACTTGAAAATTTAACATTTTTGGGTGTGTGTTAATACACATATCTTGATAAGAAAAACAAAATAAAAACTCAAAAATTTAACATTTTTTTGTGTGTGTGTTAATACACACATTGAAAATTAAACATTTTTTGTGTTTGTGTTAGTACACATATCTTGACAAGAAAATTAAAAAAACTAAAAAATTTAACATTTTATTGTGTGCTAGTATACACATCTTGGCAAGAAAATTAAAAAACTCGAAAATTTAACATTTTTTGTGTGTGTGATAGTATACATATATCACAAGAAAATTAAAAAAAAAAATCAAAAATTTAACATTTTCTTGTGTGTGTTAGTACACACATCTTGGCAAGAAAATTAAAAACTCGAAAATTTAACATTTTTTGTGTGTGTGATAGTACACATATATATGATATATTCACAAGAATATTTAAAAAAATTCAAAAATTTCACATTTTCTTATGTGTGTGTTAATACATACATCTTAAGAAGAAAATTAAAAAACACAAAAATTTAACATTTTTTTTTTGTGTGTGTGTTTGTTAATACACATATCTTGGCAAAAAAATTAAAAAAAAAACTCAAAAATATAAGATTTGCTTTTGTGTGTGTTATTACACACATCATGGTAAGAAAAATTTAAAAAGCTCCTAAATTTAACATTTTTTTGTTTGTGAAGACACATATATTGACAAAAAATTTAAATACTCAAAAATTTAATATTTTTTTTTGTTTCTGAATACACATATCTTGACAAAAAAAAAATTAAAAACTCAGAAATTTAACATTTTTTTGTTTGTTTGTTAATACACACATCTTGATAAGAAAATAAAAAAATTAGTCCTGCAAACTTAAGAAAGAAAAATTCCGAGAAACAAACTCAAAATTTTAACATTTTCTTGTGTCTATGTGTTAATACACACATCTTGGCAAATAAAATAAAAAAGTACAAAATTTAGTACTTTTTGTGTGTGTGTTAATACACATATCTTGACAAGAAGATTAAAAAAAAGTTGATAATAAAATATTTTTTGTGTGTATTAATACACACATCTTGGCAAGAAAAATTAAAAAATTCACAAATTTAATATTTTTTGTGTGTGTTAATACACACATCTTAACAAAAAAATTTAAAAAACTAGAAAATCTAATATTTTCTTGTGTTTATTCGTATACACATCTTGGTAAGAAAATTAAAAAACTTCAAAATTTAATATTTTGTGTGTGTAATAATACACGTATCTTGACAAGAAAAATAAAATAAAAACTTCAAAATTCAACATTTTCTTGTGTGTGTGTTAATACACACAATTTGGCTAGAAAGTTAGAAAAACTCGAAAATTTAATATTTTGTGTGTGTGTGTAACTTTGGACATATGTGAGAAATTCTAAATCGAAGTTACACGCTAGAAATTAACTAACGTAAATTTTACTTCATGATTCGAGAGTGTCACTGAATTATATAGTCAGAGTTTTCTCTACGCCAAAATACAAAGACTTCAACTAGCTGTAACTCGATATGTGTAATTCTGGACAAATGTGAAAAATTCTAAATACAAGTTACACGCTAGAAAACTAACAAACTTGGGTTTTACTTCATGATTCGAGTGGCACTGCGATACGTGGCCATACTTTTCTCCATGCCAAAATACAAAGACTTCAATTAGCTGTTAACTTCTTTTAAGTCAAGTTGTGCTTCGATGCAAAACCACATATCTATTATTTATACAACCAATCTTTTCTTTCTATCTCTCACACATTAAAGAAATCTCTTCTTCTTAATAGCTTTCATGACATGACGTACATATCGGAATCGCGTCTCTTGGTCCTCTTACTTGGTTGTGTCTTTGCTTCCAGCCTCTTTATGACAAATGCTCTTGTTGGTGCACTTGCTGCTGCTTGTCGTCCCGACCAGATCCAAGCGCTTCTGCTATTCAAGAACGAGTTTGAATCAACCGGTTGCAACCGCAGTGACTATTTCAACGGAGTTCTCTGCGATAACGCGACTGGTGCGGTCACGGAGTTACAGCTCCCAAGTGGTTGCTTCACTGGAATTCTCAAACCCAACAGTAGCCTCTTCGGATTTAACCATCTTCGTTACCTTAATCTCTCTCACAACAACTTCAAATCCTCTTCACTTCCTTGTGAATTCAGCAATCTCAACAGATTAGAGGTTTTGTCTCTTTCCTCTAATGGTTTCATTGGTCAAGTTCCTTCCTCATTTGGTAATCTAAGCCAGCTTTCCGATTTAGACCTTTCCTATAACGAGCTCACGGCCTTTAGTTTCCCATTTGTACTGAACCTGAGTAAACTTTCCCATTTAGACCTTTCCCATAACCACTTGTCTGGAACTTTGAATCCAAACAGTAGCCTATTCGAGTTGCACCACCTTCTTTCCCTTGATCTCTCTTACAACAGCTTAGGACGTTCCTCCTCAATTCCTTTTGAGTTTGGCAATCTCAACAGATTAGAGGAATTGTATCTTTCCTTTAATGGTCTTATAGATCAGGTTCCTTCCTCATTTAGTAATTTAAGTCAGCTAACCGGGTTGTGCCTTGACAATAATGAGCTCACAGGTAGTTTCCCACTTGTGCAAAATCTAACCAATCTCTCCGTTTTAGATCTTTCCTTCAATCACTTCTCTGGAACCGTCCCTTCTTCTCTCCTCACTATGCCTTCCTTGTCATATCTTAATCTGTATAGAAACCAGCTCACTGGTTCTATTGACAGTCCCAATTCATCTTCTTCATCTCAATTTGAGTATCTGCGTCTTGGGTATAACCAATTCCAAGGAGAAATCCTAGAGCCTATCTCAAAGCTCATTAACCTCGATTCTCTCGACCTTTCTTCCCAAAACATAAGCTACCCAATTGACTTAAACCTCTTCTCCCCTCTCAAATCTTTATCGTTCCTAGATGTTTCCCGTAATAGTATATCACCAGCTAGTTTAAGTTCAGATTCATGCGTCCCATTGAAGCTAGAGCAATTAGTCTTGATGGGATGCGGCATCCGTCAGTTCCCAAACTTCATCAAAAGCCTTCATAACTTGGAGCGTGTATACCTTTCCAACAATGAAATCAAAGGGAGAGTACCTAAGTGGTTTTGGAACCTTCCTCGTCTGAGCATAGTGACTCTTCTTAATAACTCTTTTATAGGTTTTGAAGGTTCGAGGGAAGTCTTAGAGAACACATCTGTGACGATATTAGTTTTGGATTCAAACCATTTTAGAGGACCATTGCCTATTCCACCACACTCTCTCTACCTCTTATCTGCAAGGAACAACAGTTTCATAGGGAACATACCTCTTGCAATCTGCAACCAGAGCTCGCTAAAAATTCTTGATCTATCCTATAACAACTTCACCGGTTCAATTCCTACATGCCTGGGTAAACTTCGAAGCCCTCTCATTGTTGTGAATCTCCGGGAGAACAAGTTGGAGGGGAGTCTTCCAAACATGTGCTATGATGGTGCCTTGCTTCGGTCGCTTGATGTTGGTTACAACCGATTAACCGGGCAGCTTCCCAGGTCTCTTCTGAATTGCTCCTTGCTACAGTTTCTAAGTGTTGACAACAATAGAATCAACGACATATTTCCTTTCTGGCTCAAGGCTTTGCCTACTTTGCTAGCTCTTACCCTTCGTTCAAACAAATTTTATGGTCCTATGTCACCTTCTGATCATGGTCCTCTTGTGTTTCCCGAGCTGCGTATACTTATTACATCAGATAACAAGTTTACAGGAAGCTTGCCCCCAAATTACTTTGTGAACTGGAAAGCATCATCGTCACTCCAGACGAATGAAGATGGGGCATTATATATGGGAGAAGACAACTTAGCCAGAGATAACAGGTATTCTTATCAATATGCATATCACATTGACTTGCAATACAAAGGTCTAGTAGTAAAACAAGAGAAGGTCCTCACTTCTTATGCCGGCATTGATTTTTCTGGAAACAAGCTTCAAGGACAGATTCCTGAATCCATTGGTCTTTTGAAGGCATTGATTGAAGTCAACTTATCAAACAACGCATTCACTGGCCGTATTCCTCTGTTTTTGGCTAATGTTACGGAGCTTGAGTCACTTGATCTATCAAACAACCAACTCTCAGGGACTATTCCTAATGGACTCAAGAGCCTCTCGTTTTTGGCGCACATAGATTTGTCTCATAACAAACTCAAGGGTGAAATACCACAAGGAACACAGATCATGGGGCAACCTAAATCCTCATTTGAAGGGAATGCAGAGCTTTGTGGTCCTCCTCTCAAACAAAGTTGCTTCGGGACTAAGGCACCATCAATGAAACTACTAGAACAAGAAAAAGAAGAACAAGTGTTGAACTGGAAAGCAGTGGCAATAGGGTATGGGCTTGGACTGTTTCTTGGATTTTCAATAGGTCAAGTCATCGCTTCATACAAGTGCAGAAGCCGTTAGTTTCGGGTTTTGCGTTTGATCTTTGATTGCATGCCAAGTCGTTGTTGGTCTAATAACGAAGTAGTTCCTTGGAACTACTCCTTTTTCTTTTCTTTTCTTTTTTTGTATTTCCTTTGCCATAATGTGAGAAAGCTAGTTTTTATCTACTCATCTTTATAGTAGACATCTCTTATGTTATCTAAGGAGAATTGTTAAGTTTGTGTTGAAGCTTAAACTTGACACACATTTCAATTCCGTATCAGTATGGCTTTCCTGTTAGGTTGAACAGAGAAGCAGAAGCAAATAATAATCAATGATTTGGACAGATGACACATCAACATCTTTGTTTACTTTGTTATTATTGCGTAAATATTTTTTAATTACAAAAAAATTGTTTCAAAAATCAATGCAATTCTAACACTCCGTATATTACCTCTGCTATCACAAACGTCAAACTAATGACTATTGTGATATGCAGAACGAATATTACCCAACTACCACCGAAATAGTTTGCAATTTTCCTAAATAAGAAAAATATAAAAACAGATCCATACTATATATATATATATATATATATATTTAATAATTGTAATATCTGGGTCCACCTTATCGTATATGATTAGTTGATTACTATACTTGTATTATTGTTTTTACTTTTTTAGTTATTATAAAAAATAGCCATGTCGCCATCAAACATCCATTTTCTTGTCCTTTATTTGTGTCAAACATATTCATACCTACTTGAAAATTTTGTTGTCAATGATTTCTATCTGTTATTTAATTCAACATTTTCTACCTTTTTTTTTGTTCAACCAACATTTACTTATGTGAAAATCAAACATATTGGTATACGTACGTTATAGCGTGTAAATGTAAACTTTAGATGATAAACATAAAAGGCATATGATGAAAAATAAAGTCCGAAGACGTATTTGATTAATAATTGATTAATAAATTATACTACTAGATAGAATATCTGATTAGAAGACTGAAGCAAGCTTGCGGCTTATTACTACTGCATTAAAAAAAGAGTTAATTGTGTTTATGGACGTGCGACCTGTTAAAGTATCATTAGTGCGTGATTACCTTAAAAACTTTGTCCTATGCATATGATTAATCTATTATTATGGTCATGGTTTCCTTAAACCCAACACGATAATTTATAACTACACGATAGTATCATGTACTATCCAACTACTCTCTTTTTTTTTTAATAAAAATTGTCATTCTTACAGTTTATACACAAATTAAAAAAATTATCCTATCCTTTTTAATAATATACTAAATCATTTACCTTTTTAATTAATAATATACTAAATCAGTTACCTTTTTAATCAATAAAATAAAATAGTTGAGATAACATTAAAATTTAGATTGAAATTTTACATCAAAAATATAAATTCTTTATATAACAAAAAGAAAATGTCAAATTGATACTTTTCTGTAAAACAGAGAATACTTCTTTTATTCCACTATATAATAAATGGTGTTGGAATATTAAAAAACAAAGTTTGTTTTTAAATTAAGTTATTATTATCAGCTTTTATTTCAGAGCATTTGAAAACCACTAACTCAGATACATTATATTTTAACGTTTGTTCTTAGATATTGAGAAATTATAAAAAAAAGTTCAGCATATATATATATATATATAATTGAACATTTGAAAAAAAAAATTGGAACAATTAGTCGTATATGTTTTGGTCAAACATATAAATATATATATATATATATATATGAGTTGGCAAAAATAAGCATCTAAATTTAAATGGATAATTGGGAAATAGATTATATAAAATTGTTTAATTTTTAAAATTAAAAGATTTATTATTTTTTGTAAGAATTTGTATATTTGGAAAATCTATAAATATTTTAATGTAATTAATTTTAAAAAATTATAAGAATATAGTTAGTTGTTCGGGAACAAATTACGAGTTATTGGATTTGAGTCTCCTAATTTTATTTTCTAGAGGATGAATGGTATACGGTCTCGAGATAAAAATCTGACTGAGCTCTGTGAACATTAAAAACAAGTAAATAAGATTTTCAAAATAACCGAAAATGAGTTTTTTCTTTTGAAAGTTTTCCGACAAATTAGATAATACCCCACTGGAAACAGATACTCAAAAAAATAGATAGATGGTGATAGTATTGCAGTTTAGATATTTTAATAGAAGATGGTGATACCTGTCTGCTATTTGGTGAGAATAGACATGAAATAAATGGACTATTAAAAAAGTGGAGTTGGAATCCTCTCTCTCAATATGAGATAAAGCATAGGTTTGAGAGATCTGGGTTGATAGTCGGAAAACGTTGAGTGTATCCCCAACAATCTTACCACTCAGTCCCTCTCCCTTGGTCTCCTCTCCCTACTTTTTTCTTTGACCTGTTTTATCAGTATGACATTCAGAGGAAGCAGTTATGCTCTTGTAACATGTCTTCGATTTTGAGAAACTTGCCAACTACCCAAAAATAATTAGTTAGATAACCATTAGACATGACTAAACAAAAAGCTCATCATCACAATCATCATTTATTGATAAGATGGAGTTAAAATGTGCTTAACATTAATATTTTAATTTTTTGTTTCATGTATTAATCCATTTAAAACATATTATTAATATAAAAAAATCAATAAAATAATCAAAACTCAAACATTTTAAATAACAATATATTTTGTATAGATTTTAAAAATTATCTAATTTTTAACACTAAATGTTAATAAAAATACCAGAATTCATCAATTATTAACAGTAAATTTTTTATAAATAGTAATAATTTTTAAAAATCCATTTTGTAATAAGCCAATAGCCCCTTAACACTCTCACGAAAATAAAACTAATCAACTTTTCTAAATACAAATATGAATTGAGCAAAATTTATTATTAGCACATCATTATAATTTGTTTTTTTTATAAAGAACGTAAATCGTTTACTCCAGTTAAATAAATAAAAGTATTGTTAAAACAACAAAAAAACCATCATAGGACGCTGATTATTTCCCTCCGTCATGTCATCTATGGTGTGATGATCTCACACATTTTGTTTTGACTTTCTTTTCAGTGGATTAAAAATCGGCACAAGTTTCTATTCATACACATCGATAAATAATAAATCCATGTGTGTTAAAAAACGTTGAAAAATAGAGACAGTAAATGCGATTACAGAGTGGAGTCGTCGTCGAAGGGGCAAAAAAAACCGACTCCAGTGGAGAAAACATAAAGACAAAACACAAAATGACCAAAATTAACGGAGAGAGAGAGAGAGAGCTTATCACATTCTAAAAGCTCGAATTTTGAGAACGGATTCAGAGACCCAAAAGATCCCAAGAAATAAAGGTGATAACTTTATTTTAATCCATCAACCAAATTTGAAGCCTATCCACCTCGATCTGGTGTGTATGTAGCGTTTCTTCGCAGATGATTAAGCTTATTCTCATCTCTGGGTAGTACATAACACACACACACACACCAGTACTCTTTTGGACCTTTCTGGGTTTTTTTTCGATATAAAAAGAAAACCCCAAAGATTTACTCTCTGTCTTTGCATCGTTTGAGATAATGAGCCATTTCGTTCCAGACTTCGACACCGATGATGATCATGTCAACGTTCACCCAAATTCTTCTTCTTTAAATCTCCCCGTCATGTAAGTTCCGTGACCTCTTTGTATCGCTTCTTCTTTCAGGTTTTGGATCTGATGTTCTGTGTAATCAATTTTAGGGGCGAAGAAGATCATCTCATGGAGCTTCTATGGCAAAACGGTCAAGTGGTTCTCCAGAACCAGAGACTCAACAACAACGCCAAGAAAACGCAAGCTGCTCCGCCGCCTCCTATGCAGCAGGATCAGCAGCAGCCGTTGGATCAGAGTCTCTTCATCCAGGAAGATGAAATGACGTCGTGGCTCCGTGACGATGATTTCTGCTCAGATCTTCTCTTCTCCGCCCCACCGACTGCGGCGTGTCAGGTCACCGCTGCGAGACCGCCGCCAGTACCACCGTTGGCGAGGCCACCGGTTCGGAATTTCGCCAACTTCTCCAGGCTGAGAGGGGACTTTACCAGAGTTGAACCTGGACCGTCGATTTCCAAGGCGGCTGTGAGAGAATCGACGCAGGCCTCATCGTCGTCGGCGGCGAGCGAATCCGGTCTGACACGACGGACAGACGGCATTGACAGTCGAGGGACGGTTAATCGCGGATTCAGCTCCGTCGTAGCTGGCGGTGGCGCAGTTGCGGGGCTCAATCGGAAGGGAAAGGCAGTGGCCACGACGGCGCATGCGAGTGAGATTCCCGGCGCATCGTCGAAGATTGAGATCGAGCCGGTTAATGAACAACTGGAGAAGACGGTCGCCGACGACAGGAAACGAAAGGGGAGAGAAGACATTGAGGAGACTGATGAGTGCCGTAGCGAGGTGAGTCGAACAAATCCCGAGTCTCGTTAGCAAGCGCATAATAGAGAATCCAGTGCATTTTAGCATGCCAATAAAAAAAAGGAATCCGGCGCATTCTAGTACATGTACAGTAGTAGTAATTATGATTCATCCTCGGTGAGAGTTGCAGGAAACTAAGCAGCAAGGACGTGGATCAACAAAGAGATGCCGAGCTGCGGAAGTTCACAATCTCTCAGAAAGGGTCTGTGTGTTTGAATATATATCTTTTTTTTTTTCGATTTTAGACACTTGAGAATCTGAAGAATGTTGCACATTTAATGGAAACAGAAACGGAGAGATAGGATCAACGAGAGGATGAAAGCTCTGCAGGAACTCATTCCTCGCTGCAACAAGGTCTGTTTTGGTTTTCTTCAGTTTCTCCTCCAAGTTCGACTCGTTGCTGATCTTAAACTATTGGTTTGATTCTCAGTCGGATAAAGCTTCAATGCTTGATGAAGCCATTGAGTACATGAAATCTCTCCAGCTTCAAATACAGGTAAAAACCAAAACTTAAGAACAGTGAAATAGTTTTATACATTTCCACATGAAGTCACACACACACTTGAGTTTCTTGATGCAGATGATGTCAATGGGATGCGGTATGATGCCGATGATGTATACCGGTATGCAGCAGTACATGGCGATGGGGATGGGTATGAACCGGCCTCCTCCTCCTCCGTTCATGCCATTCCCCAACATGTTAGCTTCCCAAAGACCTTTACCTCACATGGGCAGCAGCTACTCTGATCCATCAAGACTCTATGTATCGAACCAGCAGTTTGATCCGGGTTACATGGATCCGTATCAGCAGTTCCGCAGTCTCCACCCGGCCCAACAACCTCAGTCCCAGGTACTTTGCTTCTACCTTCATCTGTTTCACAAAACGAATGGAAAGAAAGAACAAAAAAAGAATATGCTCAAGTAACATCGCATGATGCTTGTTCTTGTAGAACCAAGTCACATCGTACCCAAGTTCGAGCAGGGTAAGTAGCAGCAAGGAGGAATCCGAGGATCAGGGAAACCAAACAACAGGCTGATGTGAAATTCACACACAATTTTGAGATATTTACAGAGAGAGGTAACATGTAAATCGCAGTGTCATAAAGGCTCTGTTTTTTTACGTTCCGGGTTGTGTACTGTTTTATTAGAGAGCTGTACATAATATACATGCTGCAGAGGCTTAGTGACAGAGAGAGTGTTAGGTTCGTATAGACCCAATCATTATTCTTTCTTGTCTCCTTTCTCTAAGGAACACAAACCAAGTCTTGATAAGCTATACTCGGAAAAGCTTTTGGGACTCCCATGGATTTTATCGAGTTGCTTTGATTCAATCCACAAACAGTCCCCACGGCTTTCCTGTTTTTGACAGAGAAAACATAATATGGAAGCTCACAAGAACAACAATGAAATCTTGCATTACGCGGAATCAAAATAGCCTCTTGAACATGTGTTACTCTTTGCACCTCTTCTCCTTCTTTGTTGTACACACATTATATTCATACCTTTAGAATATTCATACAAATTCTCATCAAACATTATGTTATTGCATTGTTGTTATACACATCTTTTATAGTTTCTTGAATCAAATGAAGAACTAGAGATGAGTTTTTCCGCGGAAAATAGAGTTTCTTTTAACGAAAGAAGAAATTTTTATTCTCGTTTCGTTTGTAAATGTAATGTAACAAATAAAAATGTAATGTGTATCGATGTCAAAAAAAAATGTAATGTGTAACAAAGAAAACCCAAAAAAAAAACAAATATAAAAAGAAAAAATCGAAAAACGACAGAGAGCGTCGGAGTTGGAGGTAGCTTAACCACTTTTTGTGTGCACAGAAGAACAGTCGCCGGTGAAAAAAAGTCTCATCCTTTCTTGGGGAATTTTTTTTTTTCTCACCGCCGTTCGAAGCCCACCGGGCAGTTCTCTCTTCTCCGAGCGATGGGAGACGAGAAGCCGCCGATTGCGATGGCCAATCGAGAAAGAGATCGAGAGCTTCTGATTCCCGTCGCTGACTCCGGGGAAAAAGACGACGGTTCTACTTCGAAGCCCTCTTCCTCTTCTTCCTCTTCTTCTCATCAAGCTAGCCACGAGGTCTGGTCTTTCTTCCTTTTTTCCCTGATCTACAAAGCTCCGAGTGCTTTGCTGGAGCTTAGTGTTTCACCCTTACTTCAAAATCTGGGAATTTGTTTTGCCCTAGATCCCATCGATCAGAACAAACACTTGCTTAGATATCGTGTTAACTAGCCAAACACTGATCTTGCTTGCTTGCTTATACCAAGGCATTGAATCTGACCCTATCTGATTCTGATGGTGTGTAGTGTGAATGTATAATTTGCATTCCAAAGACTCTCTCTGTGTTATGTTATGTTCATTCATGGCGTCAATCATATATACAACACAGGGTAGTGTAGTTTGATGCCTGAGCCTGTTTTCTGCAGACTTTGAGCTTGTTCATTAGGGGTTGGGCGTCAAAGAAGTTCATGACAGGCTGGTAACCATTTCTATCCTTTTTCTGACGTCGTTGTCACAGATTCAAATCTTGTGTTACTAGTTCATAATCAAAAATGTCTCTTTCTTTTCTTTTCTTTTCTTGGTCAGTGTGATCCTACTTCCTATCGCAATCACTTTCTATATAACATGGTGGTTTATCCATTTTGTTGATGGTTTCTTCTCCCCAATATATGCACAACTTGGAATCAACATATTCGGTGAGAGCATTCTGCGTTGAGCCCCTCTTTATCCTGTATCGGTTTCTCAGGGGTCTCTGACTATTTCCTGGTTTCCTCGGCAGGTTTCGGTTTCTTGACTTCCATTGCATTCATCTTCTTGGTCGGAGTGTTCATGTCCTCGTGGCTGGGGGCATCGGTTCTGAACCTTGGGGAGTGGTTTATCAAGCGGATGCCATTCGTTCGCCACATCTACAACGCCTCCAAGCAAATCAGCACCGCCATATCTCCTGGTCTCATATTGCATCTCAACAAGTTTTTGGCTGATTTCGATTTTCACATTTCTCTCAAACTTTGTATGTAACATATCCCACATTTCGCCAGATCAAAACACACAAGCTTTCAAGGAAGTTGCAATCATCAGGCATCCTCGTGTAGGTGAATACGCATTTGGGTTTATTACCTCAACTGTTGTTCTCCAGGTGAGTGGAAAAATGCTTCGGGCCACCATTGTATTATATGATTCGATTCACCAAAAAAATATGTGATGATTGCTCTTTTTGCCCTTGCAGAATTACCCAACTGAAGAGGAACTTTGCTGTGTTTACGTTCCCACTAACCACCTTTACATCGGAGATATACTACTTGTCAACAGTAATGATGTTATCAGGCCAAATCTCTCTGTCCGGGAAGGAATAGGTGAGATCACAAACCCCTTTTTCTCATTGTGTTTGGTGTGTATATAGCACGAAAGCTACTCAACTCTTGTCGTTCATTCTTCATCTGCAGAGATTGTTGTTTCGGGTGGAATGTCAATGCCGCAAATTCTCTCGACACTAGATAAACCGTCGGCCTCCATCGACAGAGCTACAAGCGTTTAGTTTCCTGCAGAAGAAGAAGAAGAAGAAGACTTTCTTGTTTAGTTGGGGTTTGAATGTTTGATGATGAGTGTGTGTCTCTTCTATTACGACGTTGTTGTAACATTCCATTTGTGTGTGTGTATAATGTAAGGTAAATCTCTCTCATTTCTTAGATATGAATCTTTCTCCCAAGAGATGTTGAAAAAGCATATATATCGTTACAAGAATTTGCTATAATCCTATATTAAAAAAAAAGAAAAACCCAACATTTGATTTGGTTTATTGATAATATATTCCTCAAAAGCAATGTACACAAATAAATAATGACAAAAATTCGTAATGAAAATTAGAACAAAGCCTAATAAACACAATCTGTGTCATGTAGTAAAAAATGCAGTACTCTCTTAAATCACCTGCCAATTGTTGCTCTCTGTAAGGTTAGGAGTAAATAATATTAATGATGATGGTTCATAGGTCTTTCTTCTCAGACAAAAAGCTTGAGCTTGATGAAACTGAGTCTGTTTGTTGTTTTGTGGTTTGTGAAACTCCATTTGCGACTGCTCCTTGTTGAAACACTGGCTCGATTTTCACAGCTGCTTGTACAGGTGAGTCTAGATCCATCCTTGACAAAGAACATTGTGATTCTGTAACAAACAAACAAAAAATTAAAACTAGGCTTTCGTGTTTCCTTTTTTTCCTTTTTAGCTTCTTAGTGAAAGAAGAAATGTAACACCTTTTAATTCTCCGTATGAGATTATTCGGTTAAGGCAGTCACGGAACTTGGTTAATACTACTCTCTCCTGCTCTGCATAAACCTGGTCTTGCCCGTTTGGCATCTTCGAGGTGGTCTCCACCAAACAATTAGATGAAGCTGCAACCATTAACATAGTGTCCTGTTCATCACACATCAATGCTAAAGTTTCTGGAGACAGGTCTCTGCTTTCTGAGCCATATGATTTGGATTCCTCTGGACCAGATTTATCAGCTTCATTTCCGCTCGTAGCTTTCTCTACGTCGCTACATTTATCATTGCCTTGTCCTTGTTCTTCCGCAGAAGAAGCTAAGCAAGTTTCCGTCTCATCTTGCAACCGTTCTTCTGTTGATGATGTCTTGGCTGCTTCCCCAGCTACAGAAACCAGAACAGAACAAAGTGCTTTCACATCTTGTGGTTGAACTATGTCTGCCAAGAGAGACCTTCAAAAGAAAACCAAAAAAAAAAACGTATAGCTCAGTTTATGCAAGCTCTCTGGTCCAGATTTAGCTCTCGCAAACACACCTATATGTAACTTTGGATGGGCCTCCTCCGCGACGAGGAACAGGTTTCGAAGATGTCGCTCTTCCACTATTTGCCTGATACCAATTATAATACAATAAGATCTCTCAGTTTCCTTACCAAGGTAACAGATAAGGAAAGCATAAAGATCATTAACCAGACAAAGCAAGTAAACACTCTATTTTTTTTTTTACCTGGCCAAGCGTATGAGTAGATGAATCTTTGGCTGCTTGTGTGAAGAAAATGTCCTGAGCTTTCTTTCTCTTAGGAGCTGGAGAAGATGCAAAGCCAGAGGAACCTACAGCTCCAGTTATGGCAGCATTTGCGTGTTGGAGATAAGCCACGCCGTGGGAATGCTCACCGTGAAAGAGAGCTTTTCTGTCTTCACTTCCTTCAAAGTTTTTGCAACCCAAGCATTTGCAGTTGTCTGAGCAAAGAATGTTTGCCTGAAAGCACTCACAATACTTCTTAAGGCATCCCGATTTCTTGCAGTGGCAGCCTTTGTGGTGTTTCCCTAACATCACAACCTCCTCCTGCAAAAAAATTGAGTTTTTAAAAAAAAATTTAAAACTTGCCTAAGCTGCTTAACGAGCCATCATCACACAGTAACAAAAAAAAAAAAAGAAACACGTTTATACACTGTTATCTCGTGCGCCTTGTGGAGTGCTAGCGATCTTAGGCCTGAAAGCATTTGGATTCCGTTCCAGAGTTGATTCAACCGCCTCTCGTCTCGCCGGTTCGTTGTCAACGTTGTTGAAACAATTCACACAGTTGCAACCATCACAGTAGGCGCCGGATGCAAAGCATTCACAGTACCTGACACAAAAGATGATTGCATAGCTCAGTTCATATCAAGCCTACAAACATAACAAAGAGTTTGCTTCGCAGACTTACAGCTTCAAGCACCGTGAGTGTTTACAGTTACAGTGTTTTTTCTTCTGAGGAGTTCCATCTCTAGCTTCCACCACAGGCCTTGGCTCGAGCTTCCTGCGAGAAGAAACAAGTGTGACCTTTTGGAAATCTCAAACCTTTTGAGCTAAACAATCAATCTGTATAAAGATGTAAGCTTCGATCCCCAAATCTGACTTCAACTACATAGAACGATCAAATCAGATCTCCATAAGTTCCCCACTCTATGTCCCAAAAGTTTCATTTTTTTTTCATTTTACATAAAACCAAAACAAAGGGCTCGATTCTGAGACTTACGGGAGTCTGATTTGGGGATGAGATTGTGACGGTGGAATCGGATTCACCACAGTCGCTGCCGTTGAGGAGATGGACGCAGGCGGAGCTTTATTAGACTGTGAGTGCTCCGCATCGGAGCCGGAGCCACCAGTGAAGTCGAGTTGCCTCGCCGACTTCTTTGTCGGAATATCAGACTCTTCTGGAACCTCCTTTTTTGGCGGGAATTCGCCTCCCTCTCCCATCTAAAGGATTCGAAATTCGAAACCCAGAAGCTTCCCCTTTTTCCCACAAGCTCGCAATTTAACCACCGAAATCCCAGAGAAACACGCAATAATTCACACAAATCAGCTCGATAAATGCAAGATCCAAAATCCAGCCTTAATCACTTCCACACGCGCAAACCCCACGAGCCGAATCGGCGTCTACTAAATCTCAAACGGGAGTTTGAATTCGAATTTTGAACGGCTGATATAGAGATAGAGGAAATTAAGGTTTTAACTATACGGAAGAAGAAGACGGAGAAAAATGATACAACAGCGGAAAAAGAAAGACTGAGAATTTGGGCTTCTTCTTCTTCTTCGTCTTCCTCTTCGTCTTCGAGAGAGAGAGAGCTTCTCTCCTCCCTCTCTTATACATCTTTTGAAATTTCAATTTCTGGATTATATTAGACGGATAGATTTGAGAGAGAATTTGATCGTACGGTTGATGTTAAATACTCTGATCCAACGATTCCTATTCATAAGGTTTGAAGTGTAGGTGTACGTTCACCGTCCGATCGCCGCAGAAAAGGAAACTCTTTTGTTAATAAACAAAAACCAAATACAGTATAGTATAGGAAATTTAAACCATTTATAAACTGACACGTTGACAGCCACTCGTGACTACACAAAAACAGAGAAGTAATACTCAAAATTAACGGTTTTGGCCCAAACTGTTCGTTTATTCGCGAAAATCTCTAATGATTTTTTTTTTTGTCAACTCCCCAAAACATCTAACATTTGAAGTTATGACAAAAGACTCTAAATAATGATGATTTATTAGAAAAAAATGTCAATACCATACATTTTTTGAAATTTCAATTTCGAGTTCTTGTTACCAGTGTCCTTCAGACAAGGTACAGTTTAATGACATGAGCGATCCTGTCATGAAATTGATCTCGGTTAAACAAAGACATCCCATTTTCATGATCATGAAATTGAACTCATTTTTTTTTTGTACGTGTGTTATAATTTGATTTTCAAAAATGAATATAAATTACTCAAATAATTTATAAATTAAAATATGTTTAAAATTTTACATTGGAAATGAGGAATTGTACATCAATAGATGGTTCATAAATCATTATCAAGAAGCATAAATAATATATAAAAATTGTAAAAATAGGAAATTTGATTTAATAGATATTCATATTTATAAGTATCTTTAGTTTAATATGGTTTTATAGAAACAAAAATTAACCAAATAATATAAGTATTTAAACTTTTTTAAATAAGTTTCAAATAGAATATCACAAAATCGAAATATAAAATTAATTATATATGTTAAAAGTATATAATGTTATAACAATTTTAGTTTGATTAAAAATTTAATTATTAAAACTTTAATTTATACAAATAAATTAACTTGGACAAAAATTTAATATTTTTAAAAAAATATATATAATAATTAAATCAATCTTTTGGTATTAAAAATATTTTTATTGGATCAAAATGTTAAGAGTTAATAAATTTTAACTCAGTTATATATAATTTAAAATAATTTAATATAAATATTAAAGTTAAAAATATATAATCTGTTTTATATAATCTCTATGCATATTTAGTATTTTAAAATAAATTTACAATAATTGGCTTTTCTTAAAAGTTGATATTTATATAAATGTAGTGTTTACAAATTAACCTAAATGTACAATTATATTTGTATAAATATAATATTAGTATTAATTATAAAATTCGACAAGCAGGAAAATGTAATACATGGTATGTACAATTATATTTCTATAAATATAATAATAGTAAAACAAATCTTATTATTACCATAACTTATTAAGAATTAACTAATAGTTTAATCAAAATGTATCTATTAAATGTAATACATGGTATGTACACAAGTAATTTATTCATCAATAAATTAAAATCTAATTAGTTAATTAATGGAATTTCATCAGTTTAGACTTTTTCCAAAATTTAATATGTCAAAATAATAATTTATATTCATTGTAATATAACTGTGAGCTAGTTAGGAATTTATTAAAAATCATAATCAAAATGCAATTAGATATATGTTAACAATATAGGTAATATAATTTATGACATCATTAATAATTTAATTTTGGTCTAAGTAATATTACCGATTAGATATCCAAATTTTTCGAATATAAATTATAATGACATTATTTCGTAATAAATCGTAAGTATTTTAAATTTAATAATAAGAAAATAATATGTAAGATGAGAAAACTTATATTTTAACATACATTAATATTGTTATAGAAGCTCATTATAATAAATGTTATATGTCATATCATTTTTTATATAATCAATAATAGCGAAAATACATCAAAATTCTATCAATATTCATTACATCTTAAATTTAATATTTTTTTTTAAAATGCATCAAAACTCTGCTAATATTTATTACATCTTAAATTTAATATTTTGTTTTATTATGTATACGTTATATTTTCAACCTACAATTTATTATATTTTCAGTTACTTACATACAAAATAAAATCAAGTATATTGTGTATGGAAACTTTACCGATGAGGTAGATGAGTATTGATGGTTGACTAATAATGAGATTGTGACGTGTGTTTTAAAGTTAATGATAATTGAACGGAAAATATGATTTCTAAATTTAACATAACAAATATTATTTCTGATTTTATCATGTATTTTTATTATATAATATGTGTTAATTTTTACTAGATTGTTTTATACAGATTTCTAATTTATAAAGATGTTTTCGAACTTTATTTGATTCTTAAATTTTGTAGTATAATTATTCAGATTGATGTAATTATAAATAATTAAAAAATAATGTCCTATAATTATTTACATGTATAAAAATTATTACAAATACATATTGTATTTTATAAATAGTCAGACTTTCAATCAACCATCATTGATAACATTCATATAGTTCTAAAGACCAATATATACTTTTATATGAAGTTTTATTAGTAAAATTTTATTATATTTTTGGAAAATATTTTTTTATTAAATAGTTTTTGATTAAATGTTTTTGAAGTCAAAAACTGTTCTTTTCTTTTTTATAAAAAAGAGTTATTTATATTAATTTATAGTTATAGTTATTGTTTTCCAAATTATGAATATAAAATATGTGTCTTCTTTTAATTCATTTGATATACAAGTATATAAATATTAAAAAGTTTAAGCAATAATATTTAATCATTGTCCAATTATCAAAAGTAAATAAATATATACATAAATATTTTTTATCCAAAGCTTGAGATTAGTAGAAAAGCTTAATCATATCATCCATTAGGATACATAAAATCTATATAGTAACTTTATGTTTCTACCCAAATCATATCATACACCAAGTGTATTCAATTTGAAATTAATTTATATATAACAATTAAATGACCCTATTTTTATAAAATAAACAAAAAGATTTATATCATCAATGTTATATCATAATAATGTTATATAAAATTTATAGAGAGTAACTTTAGTTTTGTAAATTATTTACAATGTTGTCATTTTGCTTATGTATTATCATAGAAATATTTTTAGAAAATATATCAAAATAAACTTAAAATTTATATAAAATCAATTGTATTATATTATATGATTGTAAAATTATATTAATTTTAAATAAATAATAATTATGGTGTCAATTTGCTCATGTATCATCACTAGAAATATTTTTAGAAAATATATTAAAATAAACTTAAAATTTATATAAAATTAATTATATTATATTATTTGATTGTAAAATTATATTAATTTAAATAAATAATAATTATTTATTATGCACTATGTGCAGCTATTACCTAGTAATATAGAAATATAAACCATTTGTAAACTAATTAAAAATATAGGATTTTGTCACTTTGTAACTTTTTTGAATTTTAAGACTTGTAGTTTGTATCAACATTGAATTTCTTCTTCAGCAGCTTGTGTTATGTTTTGAAAAATATATGTTATGTTTTTTATTCTTAACAATTTGTACAATTTATGTTAATTTTTTATATTTAAATCAAATTTTCTATTTTTTAAACTATAATATATATATATATATTTATATATTATATAAAATTTTATTGATTAGTTGACCTGGATCAATTTATATTATGGACATTCCGATTTGCTTTTCGGATCGAGTTTTAAAACATTGACTTTAATTAATGAGAAATACTTTTAGAACAAAAAAAAAGAACTAAAATCAGAAAAGTACAATACATATACAATACTGGTTTTGGAATTAGAAATGAGATTTTGCAGATTCAAGATGGATCTCTTTCCACAATTTTAAAAATGCCATGTAGCACTACAGTTTCAAAGCCTATGATAAAACTTCAATTGTTTCGGACACTCACCACTCAACGAGTAGGAAGCTGTGTACTCTCTCACGCGCAGAGCAAAAAAAAGAGAGATCAAAATCTAAAGTATGATAGTATCTTAGATGATAATCAAAATCTAACAAAGGAACCAGTTACTTTGAAACCATCGGCCCAAAGCAATCTATCTGGATCATGCTCTCTTGACAGTTTCATGCGCATGGAATTTAGCAGACTTAACAAGACAAACTATACAATGGTCTGTGTGTTAAAGCTCAATGTAATGTCCCCTTGGTGAAATTCATATTTTATAATTTTTTCAACTCTTTAAAATAACAATGAACTAGTAATGAAACGGGATAGAATCAAAGTAGCGAATGAGAAAATTATTAGAAAAAAAAATCATAACGTTGCATACAGAATAAGGCAAAAACAAAACCAAAAAGAAAAGTAACAAACTGTTTAGAAACTCATTTGACTCTCAATGTGATTTGGGAACAAACACATTCCATAATTGCTAGCCATGTTTTGAACTACATTATTGAGCCAAAATTTAAACTCAATTCTTCTATAGCTGTTTCTCACCGGATCACAAATTAAAATATAAGCCGATTCGGGAAACTTGCATGGTATATAAATAGACTCACCAGCATGAGTCATACCGTATGGATAGGTGTGCTCACGATCACGGGTCAAAAGAGGTGCAAGAAAGTCTT